TACTTCTCCTTCACATCTCCTATTCATGATTCAAGGACTTTCTTTTTTTCCTCGAAATAAGAGTTATACAATTTGGGAGTCTTTTAGATAGACCCACTGAAGGGGTACTCCAATTGCCTCACCCTGCATCCCTGTTCAGCATGGAAGAAGCCAGAGCAGTCTGCATCCCTAATCCCTATTGGCAATTTGGGTAACCTCTTCAGAGGATGGTGTGATAAGAATAGGGGATAGGAATTGGCTAGGCAGTTAGGGTAAAAAGACCCCCCCCCCAAAGTAGCCAGTTTCTTGGCTAAAAGTCACAACGTCCTTGGGCCTCTTAGCAGCCTACCCCATGCCAAAGGCCAAAAATGTTGAAAAGATTTGGGAGCTTTTATCTAATCCTTAAAAGATTTTAGGGTTACTTCTTTGGAGGGGGGAATGTTAGAGTAGCCAAAAGCCTCATAAAAAATAAATCAAAGAAGAAAAAGTACATAAAGTTATCAGAAAAAAAGTGATGGGGAGATATGGGAGGAGTTGGAGGGGAGGGATTGGGCATGGATTTGATCAAAACACCTTATATGCATGTATGAAATTCTTAATAAATTATTTATTTAAAAAAAGATAGAAGTCATCATTTTGCAACAGACAGAGACTATTACAGAGTTCCACAATTGGTCAAACACAGAGAATAAATGACTGTGAGATGCCCAGCCCTAAGTGACACATCTGCAATGGAATGTCTACACCTAGGCTCACAGAACACAGTGGAACAAGGGGTAGAGAGAACACTAATGCATCTCTCAACTCTCACCAGTGAGGTTTCCTCATGCAACAGATGGTGATCAACACGGAAAGCCACAACTGGCCAAAATGTAGAGTAAGAGATATTGAATGTGTGTCTCTAGATAGAACTCCTATATTAAACCTCAGCCACCCAGGGCTTAGGCCCCACTGCTGAAGAGGGGGCAGAAAGATTGTAAGAGCTGGGGGTGGTGGATGACCACAAGGAAACAGAGTTTTCCAGGCTTCTGGGAACTCACTCACATGAACTTACAGTAATGGTGACAGCATGCACAAGGCCCATGCAAAAGCAAACCAGACAAAATCCCAGCATAAAACTGGGGAAATGGTCAAGGAGCCTCAACCTTAGCTGAGACCACTGGTAGCTGATCATAACTGGGTGAGGAGAGGTGGTCTTCTTTAAAGGAGTGATGTTAGATAAGCTGACCAGACTCCAGTGGATGGACTCACCGAGAGACATCTGGGGACAAAAACTTGACTTGACAGGTCTTAATATATATGACAGAATGCAAGAAATCTGGTGAGGGGGCTTTGGGAGGGTACAGATATGAGAGGGTGTCTAAATATGATGAAGATGTATTATATGAAATGCACAAAAATTCACAGAAAAGGAAAAAAGAGAGAGGTTATTATGAAAAATTAACTCTAACCAAAGGCAGAAACATGTGCTAAACACTGTGTGGCTTACTTCAGGATAACATTTAGCAAAGGGCTTGCTGCATACTTATGGGAATGACCTTGTGGGAAAAAATATGGGCTGAATGGTAGAAAAATTAGGAAGATTCATGACTTGGTAAACAAGCTAACATGTAGGTTAGTTTAGAAATTTGTCACATGGCTATATCATATAGCTTGGTTTTTTTGGAATCTCTGTCTTACAAGCACAGGTAGTTAAGAATATCTTGATATTTTAGATTAGAAAGAAAAATTCACAAGAGCTCAACATCTTATCAAGTGGATAAAAATAAATTTAAGAAAGCAACAGTAAAATTCAGAATTTAGATTTACTTGGGAAAAATTACATTAATACTCCACGACAACAACCGTGCTAAGGAGCACATGGAGATTTACTTAATATTAGGTGCTAAACATAAAACTCACAGAAGTAGCTCTGTTCCCTCAGATTATATGCATGTGAACTATTTTGAACTTTAAGTTGACAATACCCTGGTGATGGTTAATTTGCACTATCACCTTGATGGGATATAGAATCACCTAAAAGACTCAGGCACACCACTAGATAAATCTGTAAAGGACATTTCCAGAAGGGAAAGACCCACTGTGTATATGAGTTGCACCAGTCCATGAATTAGGGGCCTGGGCTGAATGGCAGAGGAAGAGGAGAAAGCCAGCTGCATGCCAGCATTCCTTTCTCTCACTTCCTGGCCTCCCATCATGTGAACTGAGTTGCTACACTGGGCCCTCTTTGCCATGATGGGTGAACTCTCTGAAACAGTGAATCAAAACACTACATCTTTCCTTATTTCCATTGTCTCTGTGAGGTATTATGGTCACAGTGATACAAAAGCTAATTAACACAATCCTCACAGCAGACAACCTGACAAAATTGCTTTTAATAAAAGTAGAGCCATTAGTTCTGTGGGAAATGCCTGTCAGAAGCTCATTGACTTTGGCTTGAGCTCCTGCATCAACAAAAACACTAAAATGTGAGACGCCCTATTTTAAGAGGAGTTTTAAAAGGAAAAAAACCAAAAAACAAACAGAATAAACCATGAATAGTATGGACCACTAATAGGAGAATGAAAAACTTGCGAAATGAAAACCAAAGGAGAATAAGAAGCTTGCAGTGTTTGAAGAAATATCAGTAGAAGAAGAAATAAGCTACTTGGTGATATTCTAAAACAGAGACTTAGAGCTGACTGATAAATTATTAACAGTCAACATAAAGAATTATATAATAACAATTAAGCATGATCCCACAGAGAAATGGCCTGCCCTGAAGGATCATGAAATTCCTCTTTGTAAATGTCAACACAACCAAAGACGAAGAGAAGTTAGGGTGCCAAGCAGGAGATTGCATTGAATAACCACTCTATCTTCTAACTCTAAATTCTATTCTAACTTATTACAAACTAATTACATATTCAAAACATAGCTCCAACTTTATGAAATTTTATAGATACAGGAACCATTTGAATTTGAGAGGAAATAAAATTTCCACAGTGGTGGGAAAGTTTATTTACACCAATTCAATTTTAGGGTAAGATTTCAAAAGTTTCAAATGGATTCACAAGAAAAGGAACTTTCAACTGTTGAACATGGGTTGCTTGGAAATTGTCAATGTTATTCATTCGATCGCTAAGCTATCTTTAGCATATAACTCTCAATGAAAATGAGTTTGCTTTCTGTGAGGCACTCAGACATCATTATTGCTTCAGGTTTATCATCCTTTTGATTCAATTTAATGAGGTTTTGACCTGAAAGCCAGAGATACATAGATAGATATCCATAGATATAGATAGATATATGGAGATATCCTGGCATTTTGAGAGGGCCACGATAGAATTTCCTTTTATAGTCTTTGAATCTCTTGCCAGATTCTGTTTTCAGGTACATTTTCTCTACTCTAGTTCAGCCTATATTTTGAACCAAATCATGAATCTTTGTTTTAAAGATTTTTGGTTAAGAGGTTGTACTTTCTTATGAAATTTTGGCAACTGGTTCTTAAAACCAAGATCCTTTGAATCTTTTTTCTTAAATAATTTTTTAAAATCTAAATTTCACTTTATTTATTTATTTAGTGGGGAATTGCTCATACCACAGTGTGCATGTGGAAGTCAGAGGACAACATGCTAGAGTCGGTTTTCTCCTTCCACCATGTGAATCCCTGGGATAAAACTCAGGTTGTCAGGCTTGGAAGCAAGTGCCATTACCTGCTAAGCCATATTGTTGGCCCCATAAATTAATTTTATTACATTTATTTGTTTACTTGTATGTCTGTGTGTATGTGCTAGGGTGCATGCATACCACAATGCTGTGAGGTCAGAAGACAACTTATGGGAGTTAGTCCTCTCCTTTCACTATGTGAGTTCCAGGAATTGAACTCAGGTAAGTCAGGCTTGGTGGCAAGCTCCTTTACCTACAGAGGCATCTTGCTTGTCCCAGATCCTTTAATTTTTTTTCTAGTTAATTTTTGGGATTAACAAAATGAAATATTTATCTATATGCAAATGAAGTATAATATATAAAAATTTAATGACTCAGTAGGGGCATAGGTAGCTTGCTCAATGAATGCCCTACCTATTCAAGTCATAATTGGAAGCTACATTTTAGAACACAAGTGTCTTTTTTCCATGAACCAGATATCCAGATTATCTAGCAGAGTGTCAAATAAAGCTCTCTGGATCTTAACCCCGAAGTCCTGAATTTTTCTGGATCTTCAATGCTCAAACTATTTTATTAAATTTATGTAAGTTCAAGGAAGGACAAAATAAAAATAACTGATGGCTAATTTTTAGATACCTGCAGGTAAAACTATCAATGCCAGATTGCTAAGATTGATTTATTATCTGGTCATTTGAATTTGTCTAAAATAAACAAATAGAAAATAAGAATATTAATTTTAGGCAAAGAATAAAAACCTGTAATGTCTATTTTCTTTGTGCTATCTGGAAACACAGCATCTTAGTATAATGAGTCTTAGAGGGGGCTCTGTCCTAGTAGGTCATTAGGAAAGACCATTTTGATGTTTGAGGAGGGGTTAAAAAAAGAGAAAAAGAGACAATTCTGGGTAACAAAGAGGGTAGGAGAAGGTGAAGGGAACAGAACTACATTTCAAAAGTTTCCAACATTAAGTCAGCCAACCAGATAAAAATGCATCCTTATGCCCAAACTAGCACTTACATCACTAGCAATGTCCCTGGAGGTCTTGGCCAGCTGTACAGATATTGCATCAACAGGGAGATCATAGCCTTTCTTCAAAGCTTCTTCCCATCCAAGTTTATAGAGTTTCTGAAAAATCAAAGAAACACTTTAATACTGTTCTTTCTATATTAAAAAATCCCAGATAATTAAGTAGAAATTTATGTAGAGAGAGGATGTAGGATCCTAAAATCATCTACTCTGACTCTAAACTGACAGCTTGACGGAGGAGACAGAATGCTGACCTGTCATCATGTAGTCTGGATTTGTTTTTCTTTCCATTTTGATGTGGTTGTGTAGTTGAACACTTCTACTAGTTTGCAACACTCTGGTCCTATCAGGTTTACAAGGTACCTTTCTTCCTGCTGTTAACTATCATCTGAGCTCACTGTTTTAAACACTGACATTAAGATAATTCATAAAAGGAGAATAAGATTATAAAAATTTAACTAACCAAATGATAAAAGTAACAACTAAAATGAGTTTTCTATATTATAAGAAATATGTTAGCATTTCTACTCAAATTTGTTAGAGGTATGTCTGTTAAAATCTGGGTAGTAACAAAAGTAGCAAATAGCCATCTAGGAGTTTCTATGTGCCATGGACTATGCTGAATACCTTGTAGAATTTCTCATCTGTTCCTTATAGCAGTCCAATGTCCCAGGCACTTTTATGATCTTGATTTCAGGAAGGAGGGAACCGAGGTTTAGAATAGGTGGCTTGTCCAATATCAAACAACTCATAAATGCCAAAGTCAGAGCTCATACCATGTTTGTGTGATGTAATGGTATGTTTCAGCTGTTATTTATGGATATTTGACTTTGCACCAAGCACAATGAACACAGAGCTAAACCAAACAGACATAGCTTCTGCCTCCATGGAACACACAGCAGAGGCAAGCCCTTACTCGTCACTCTGTCTTAAAACCTTTCCAGGCCAAAGAGTTTAACTCATTCACTTCTATGGCTTCAGCATTTCTCAGTTATTTTCTATTGTGTCAGTTTACAAATCAGTAAGTTTTGAGACAAAACATATCATCAATATTTATGCTTTTTTTTTTACCTGACTATACAGTGTTTGATTTTGCTTGGCTTGCAAAATATCTGGTGTATCAGGCATCACGTGAATCTTGGTTTTATCTTTATTCCAGTCAACAGTGTACAAATACTAGGAGTGAGAGAAAAGATATTTGAAATCTGAGTAATTGTTAAGTATAAACAGGAATGAAAACAAACAATATTTAAATGTATACAATTGGAATCAGACAATACTAACATAAGACATAGCTTAGAAGAGACATAAAAAAAAAAACTCAGACTCTTTTATTTTAAAAACCTGCCATACACAGGAATGCTGGAATTACAGATGGGTGCTGCCATGCATGGCTTCATGCTCATATTTAAAAAGTAATTTGTGTATTTTCCATCATCTACAATGGACTGAAAGTACTTAAGGTATAATGATTAAAAATATAGGCAATTTTCTAACATAGGTAGACAGACAAAGGAAGACAATGTAAAGGTGGACATTGAAACACAGTACAGGGCAATGTTCTAGAACTGTCTGCCACTGCCTAGGTGTGGTGGAAAGTTCAGCTTCCTAAACAAGGGCCAGAGCCTGTTACCCTCTCAAGTGTGAATGACATGGAAGGGTACCGTTCTCATTACCTTATTCATGGTATGAGCGTTCTGCTTGGCAAGCACCATGTCCATGGAATCATTCAGCTTCTTAAACTGGAAGTTGCTGGGGTGCTGGCGGTACTTTTGATCACTGGCATATTCAGTTGCTTTCTTGGCCTTCTCCACTTCTAGGGAACCAGCTGGGCTCCAGCCAAGTCCTTTGTACCATTCATTGTAGTCTTGCTTATATTCATTCTATAAAGACAACAGAATATTCTATTTTCTACCTCATCAATGTAGACACAAAAGTATGCCACATACAATTGATGTGATCTCACCGCCCTTGCAGGAGATCCAGTCATAACCCCTACCCCTGGCCCCTGCAAAAAGACAGTCTTACATCACTCTGGATGTGATTCATATTCCTGGTCAGCTCGATGTTCATTGCGTCTGGGAGGAGGATGTACTTATGAATCAGGTGTTTGTAGTTGGTGTTGGTGATGTTGGCTTGCGCATCCTTGGCAGCTGTCACGCTGAGCATGTCGGCAGGGGTGTGGTAGCTGGTCTTCGTCTTCTCATAGTTTTTCTTGTATTCCCGATCAGACTGCATCTTAGCCACTTGCATGGAATGGACTAATTTGGGATCATCCTCAAGACTACGAAAACCAACCATTTTTCCTTTCTCCTTTTCATAATTATATTTGTATTTATACTGTGAGGAAAATAGGAAATCAACATGAAGAACAATTCTCTTAACTAAAAAATATTCAATATTCTGTATTTCATAAAAATAGTACTTGCATACAGATCCACTGTTGATAAAACATTTTTTTGACATTTGTGCATATAACCTGATTCTCAAAACTCAGCCTTGTGAGGCAGACAGTTAAGTTTTTGCTCCCATTTTATAGGTAACTACATGGAGAAATCAGAGAAGCCCATGAGTTCTGGGTAACTGAGGACCAGGGTGCAGATTCTATGATCCCGTATTACACTGACTTGTGCACGCACTCTGCTGTTACAGTAAGATCACAGCAAAGGAGAGAAAAGCCAAGCACGGTTTAAGCAGCCTCTGCTGCCCTGAGAAGTAAACCAGCCAGCCATTTGCTGCTGAGAACGGGTTCATTTATGGAACACACAACGTAATTTTACAGTAGCTTTATATTTGTGGAGTTGCTTTTCTGTGAAGAATGTCCAAACTGGTAAAATGGGGAAGAAATTTTGCTATTCCCACCCCAACTTCTATAGAGGGAGATCCTGATCCATGGGATGCTTCTTAGACAGCCAGGAAAGAAATGACTTCATTGTACTGGACGGAGAACTCAGAACCTCAGCAATAAGTGGGAGTGGGAAGTCCTGCACAGGAAAGAAGGTAAGGACAGGTACGGCTGAGAGGCGGCCAGGAAGGAGGGCTTTGAAATGCACTTCTCTCACCCTTCCTGTAATCCAACACTCCTGGGAGTAGACTTCTGGGACACAAACCAGGTTCAAATGAGTTTCATATGAGGTACACCAGCTTTCTCAGGGTGTGGGGAGCCCTACTCACAGGGTTCACCAATTTCTGGGCTATATTCTCCCACCACGGTTGATATCAAGCAATTAATGGTTTAACAGCTAGTGCGCAAATTTTCTGATTACTTTAAAACCAGTCATCATCAGCCCCAGTGAGCAGCACTCCAGCCCAACATTGCTAGACATTCCTGAGGCCAGAAGCAGAGATCTAAAAGGGCCCTAACTCAGTTGGCATTCTGGTTTGTTTCCCCAGAAATGCCGGAGAGAACACACAAACATGGTCAAAGACACTCATAGAACATAGCAAGTCTGTTCACAGACTTAGGTTGTTGACTTTGTTTTTCTTCACATTTCATACACTTTGGTGTTTTCAGAGCTCAGTTCTCCTTCAGCTTGGTTGTGGGCTAGCCTTCTCACTTACGTCACTTGCAATATCTCGAGATGCCTTGGCAGCTTTGATAGGAATTGCGTCCGTTCTGAGATCGTAGCCTTTCTTTTTAGACTCTTCCAAAGACAGTTTGTAGATTTTCTGTAAAGAGAGATAAAGGCGATGGGAGAGCCTGCAGCATCCCTTTTACGCTGGGTAGACGCTTCATTGATGGTTCGATGATGGAATGTTCTAAGTAACATTTTTAAGTTTGAGAGAAAAAAACCCAACTATTTAAAATCAAATGTATTTTTAATATATCATCAGAAAAAGTAAAAGGTACTGGTTTCTATGAGATTGTAAATATACTATAAAGACATGAAAATCCAGTTGATTCTTACTGATTTATTTTTTATCAAATAAAAGTTAAAGGAAGACTACAAAACAACCGTCTTCACACACCAGAATACCCAACAGCCTTACAATGGATTCTTTTACTTATGTATAATTATGTGCATGCCACAATAACAAAAAAGTGTCAGCAATTCCAGATCTCTGTGGAATTCATACAAAGAAAAGAAAAAACTGGTAGGACTGGAGGATTTCCTAGCAACAGTGTCCAGGCTGAGAAGAAAGTGAAATCAAATATCACATGCATTTTCTAACAAATACTTCACATTCCGGATTGTAGAGCTTGCTCCAATTTGTTCAAGATGTTCAACTTTTCTATTATTTCAACTCTTTTTTTTTTTAAGGACCATCTCAACAGCTTGGTGGAGAGTTCCCTAAGAATAAGGTTCTCTTTGGACTCCAGCCCCTTCTTTTCTGCCAAGTTTCCTAGCTCAATGAGGGCCCGCCCCAAAACGAAGCCCAGTTACCCTTTAGAGTCTAACTGCTGTCCCAGCACCACTGACAGGCCTACTCCAAGTTTTAGCAGAGCCATATTAGAGAGGGCAAGACGCTCATTTGTCTTTTGTTGTAACTTTAACATATTCACACTCTTAATTGAGTGAGACTTTGATGAGTTAAGTTGCTATTACTGGTTGAAACAGACTGGAAAGAAAGATAAAAACAGGCAGGAAGGTTATACTTACATCACTCATATTAATTGCATTTGCTTTCGCCAGAACAATCTGGGGGATATCAGGCATGATGTGGACTTTGGTCTTGTCAGCTTCCCACGCTTGTTTATAGAGGTGCTGAGGAAAAAGTGGAAGGTAGTGCTTAAAAATCTTAAAAAACAGCTCACTCGACACATAAACATCATTACACATATACAACAATATTTTATGTATCTTTTAAAATGATAAAGGTGCTCACTGAAACAACACAATGAAGGCAGAAGACAGAAAGTACAAGCACCCTCCCTTTGTCTTAACTCTGCAGATGGAATCTCCCACCTAGAATTTTCTACGCATATTGCTATGCCCAGTCCTTTTAAAATGTAAATGAAATCATCTAACACATATTGCTCGACAGTTTCCTTTTTTTACTTCAAACCATAGGTAGGATGCCTCAGAACCGTCTAAAAAATAATTTACTTCATGGTAGGAAGCTGTGGTCTCTTGTTAGAAGGGGCGACTCAACTGATTGAACCAGTTCTCCATTGACAGACATTAATTTGTGGTTTCCAGGCTTTTTCTGCTACGAGCAGCAACTCCAGGCTCCTTGTGGTGGGTTCAAAATGCACTGGGACATATCCAGTCAAGGAAAGACTGCTGCCCAGCTTTTGACAGGCAGTTTCTTTTGCTCAACTGCTTCAGATTTGCTGCCTCACATCCCTTCCCAGATAGCCAAGGTCAATGGCTCACCAGAATGGGGACAAAAGCCGCATATCCATTTCAGCCCAGTGCCCTGTGTTTCCAACAGGTGTCACCAAGGGCCTCTCACGACACCGAGTCTGTGCCAGGTCTGCGTCACAGTTCAATTTCTCCCTCTGGCCAGCCCTCCCTCCTACAAGTGCTATCAGCAAAGAGAAAAACAACCCTGCAAGCCCCAAATTCTATCCCAGCATCTCTTTCCAGAAAGTCCAACTTGCAAGAAACATATGTATCTTTGCACACCTAAAAAAGATTTCTATAGGATAATGAACATCAGGATTTCTCATTTTCACAATATTAAAACATTACATGAATATAAACTCCTTTGTAGGTTCTGTTAATTGTACCACTGTGGCATACTGTCTATGGCTATCTATGTTTTGGTCTTGTGTTATGCACAAAAATTTTCTGCAATGATGAAAATGTTTTATATAATCCAATATGGTAGCCCCGAGCCAAACAGAGTCACCAAATACTTGAGTACATGACAGTATGAAGAAGGACTAAATTATGCGTGGTTAATTTAATATAAATCACTACATGGCTAATGGGTCTGTAATTCTAGTGGAAAGGCAGAGGCTAGTCATGAGAATCCACCAAGCCATTGAAACAGTCTCCTGGAGGTGCCTTCCTCTCAGGGCCCAAGTTCCTCAACTCTGCAGCAAGAACGCTAAACTTGATAATTGGCAGGCTCTGTCAGTGTCGGCAATCATCATTCTTGACTCTCATCTTGACATTGTTATTGTGAAATTTTCATCAATAACACTGAAAGAAAAACAAGTATCTTTCTTATTTATTTCTTTGAGTTTTGTTTTTGAAACAGGATCCTACTATGTAGCCCAGACTGGCTTCAACCTGAGATCCTCCTGTCTCAAACTCATGAGTGCTATTTCAGACATGCACCATCATACCAATCTGAAAGTCTGGTATGATCACACTTAATGTTTAAAAAAATAAATACATCTTCATGACAGTGTAGATTTTAAATGTTAGAAAGGGCACTGAGCTGTGTGCTTTGTCTTTTAGACAGGTCCCTTTCAAAGGGATAAGTGTGCTGTGTGAATTAGCCTCCAGGAGAGCTGCCATGGCTTAATAGAGTTCAGGTCTGTGTTTCCAACTCTATTAGAACTGTCATTTTCTACAACTGTTCAATGTTACAGTCCAAATTTTTTTTCAATTAATCACAAGCACACTGACTCTTGGCAGGCACCCTGTGGCTCAGCAAGATTCATTCTCAAAATGTGTATGAAAAGAAAAGACCCCAGGCTGGGAATGTTGCTCAGTTGATAAGAGTGCTCACGTAGCACTCATGAATCCATGGCTTCAGTCTCTGACACTGCATAAACCAGGTGTGTTGGCACAAACCTACAATCCCAGTACTTGGGAGGTGGAAGCAGGAGGATCGGAAATTCGTAGTCATGCTTGGTTTCACAGTAAATTTGGGGCCAGCCTTGGCTACATGAGACCCTATCTCAAAAACAAATAAATAAACAAAAAAGAAAGGTTGTGGTCTATTCTTATGTCCGTGAGATAAATGACTGATTTAGCATTTGGGAACTCCTTCTTAAGAATAATTACTATCTTTCTGTAAACTATAGGACCTCCTTTCTATGCAGAGCAAACATCAAGGATGATCTCTTGTAGCTGTGTTAGTAAAATCTGTAGATTAAATATAATGGACTCATTTTGATGCACATGAAACATCACCCTATTGGAAGACTTACTTCATTCATAATTTTTGCATTATTCTGGGCCAAAACCATGTTCATTGAGTCCATCAGTGTGGAGTGCTTCAGGGTGTCTGGGTGCTGCCGGTACTTCTTTTCACTAATGATCTCCATGGCTTTCTTGTTTTTCTCATCTTCCAGGGAGCCCAGGGGGAGCCACCCGATTCCCTTCATGAAGTCCACATAGTCTGCCTTGTACTGATTCTGCAAAGGAGAGAAAACAACCAGTGATCAGAAGCAACTGAACTTCGCAAGAATCATGAATGTGCGTTTAACATGCCATAATTTTCACTTGTTTTCAACTTACAATATATTGAATTGCAACCATTTTGAAGCCCCAAACTTTTCTTTATATATATATATATTTTTTTTTCTTCACATGAGAAATTGAACTTTTCTTGATGTCTTCATAAAGAAAATGTGTTAAGAAATAAAATAGATCCATCCACCATGTGGATGTTGTCATCTCCTGACTGGCTACGTATTATTAACCAAGTTCCCCACATTAGTAGGTGATTTCCAGAAATCTCTTTTCTCTCCAGCACCAAGTCTCTGGCTAGCTGTCATTGTCATAATTTCCTCACACACACCAGAATCCTCACTAGTATTTGCTATATATTTTATGGGTTTCCCCCTTCAACTGAGACATTTCTTTCTGTAACTGTGCATAGACTCTGATGTACCACCTGTCAATCATACCTCAGGTTCATGCTTCTAGGAGAATTCTAAGCCCAGCTTTTGTTTTATAATCTAAATTTACTTCTCCAGCTGCCAAATGGCCTCTTCAGCTAATTCTTGACTCAGAACCTGAACCTCCTGCCCTGTGTTTTCTCTACATTCATTCTAAAAACAGCCTCAGTCATGAGCTCCTCAATATTCCATTGAGAGGACAAGGAAGCACAAAGTCGTGAAAGGAAAGCTGGTTGGGAGGGAGGAGCTGGCCAATCAACTTCTATGATTATGATTTTTGAGACAGGGTCTCCCTATGCAGCCCACCTGGCCTTTAACTCTCCCTCAGCCTCCCAAGTGATGGGATTACAGGGGCACACACCATGCCAGCTTTTCATGTGCCTTTAAATGCACTTGATGCTCTTTGCCAGACTTATTTCCCTTAATACATTATTTCTAAAACCAAATCAATTCACTATTGCTGAATTCAGAATCCAAAATGATTACAGCAATAAGAATGAAGAGCTAGTCTTTAGTTTCTAGAGCAGATCTCCTTTAAAAGAAATAAATTCAGCCCAAGATAACAAGTAAAGCATCTCATCAGGAAATTATATGTTACTTTCTTTCAGGATTTTTGAAACGTCATTCATCCTGTCACTCATGAGCTGCTTAAGATCTGGGTAGAGGCTCTACAGCTCTATTGCTTTTACATACATCACTTTGAATCTGCATCATATTCTTGGCCAACTCAAAGCTCATGGCATCAGGAAGCATGTTGTAGGTGTGGATTATGTTCCTGTAGTTGGCGTTGGTGGCTACTTCCTGTGACTTCTTGGCAGCCACTACACTGAACATGTCTACCGGGGTGTGGAAGGACGTCTTGGATTTCTCATAGCCCTTCTTGTATTCTCTGTCTGACTGCATCTTGGCCACCTGCATGAAGTGCACCAACTTGGGGTCGTCTTCCAGGCTGCGGAAGCCGATGTGCTTCCCTTTGGCTTGTTCATAGGCTTGTTTATATTTGTACTGTGGATAGAAAGGGAAGCACAGCAATGAAGGGATTCAGGCAAGAGAGCAAAGTATCATTCACAGGGTGCCATTAGCTCTGGTGGAGCTGAAGGATTTTAGAGTTCCTTTAAAATCAGGCAGAGAAAGGGCACCAGAGTCAGGAAGCAAAGGCTCTATATTCAGATGCTGCCTTACACTTGGGTGCATGCAAGGAAAGTAGTCTCAGAAGCAGTGTCTTCCCTCCCCACCTCCACATTGTGTAAGCACAGAAAAGACTGCGAGTGTGATTCCTCAGTGTGTCCTTAAGGTAAACAGAGAGACTGGCCACGAGTCAATCTTATAGGTAAAGCTTACATTGGCTTATAATTGTCTGTAATAACTCAAATACACAAAAGAAACTTAATAAGACTCTGTCATTTTTACAATGAACAATGAACAAATGGCTAGGGGATAGTTGTCTTGGGTAGAGGGAAATGCCTTGGATAGTGTTTCCAACTGATGAGCTGACTCCACCTCCTGAGCAAGAATAACCTTGACTCATCTGCACCCTCACTCATCCTTGAGGCAGCCCCAGGGAAGCACTCACATCACTGGCGATGTCTCTGGAGGCTTTTGCGGCCTTTATTGAGATGGCATCAGGCCTCAGGTCATAGCCTTTCTTCTTTTCCTCTTCCCAGTCAGCTTTGTACAGTTTCTAAACCAGGAAACAGAAAGAAAAAAAATCACGTTACTTGAGGTAAAATGGGGCTCCCCATTCCAACATGGCTGGCATGTAAAAGTCAGACATCCCCTAAGAACTGCCTTCAGTCTTCCCTTGCTTTTAAAAAAGATTTGCTTCATTTTAAGTGTATAAGTGTTTTGCCTGCATGTATGTATGTGTGTGTACCACATGCATGCAGTGCCCATGCAGGCTAGAAGAAGATGTTGGATACCCTAGAACTAGAGGTACAGTTTAGCATGTGGGTGCTGGGAACTAAACTCCAGCCCTCTTACAAGAGCAACCAGTGCCATTTCTCCAGTCAGCTCTCACCCCCTTCTTTGCTGTTGATCTACTTACATCACTCATGGTAATCTGGTTTACTTTGGAGAGCAAAATGTCCGGAGTATCAGGCATGACGTGGATGGTGGACTTGTCTTTGTTCCATTTTTCAGTGTATAGCCTCTGCAAGAAGAAGATCAGGCACATGACCACGGGACAGGCTTGTAACAATGAGAACAAGAGAGGGAGAGCCACACTAGGACGGCTGAGGGAACTGGATTCACAAAGAGAAAAATCATCAAACAAGGGGACTTCTTCCTGAATCAACAAGTACCATCTGACCCCACCTCACAAGCATGTGGAGCCTTTGTAGTTCTGTTGCATCCTTAATATGGTCTGAAGGTCAATACAGAAGAGCTGTCTAAAAACTGAAAACTACAAAGGCCTGGCCCCCAGCCATGAGATTAAAATGCTGAAGAATTGCATAGGGCACTTCTGGCTCCTTGGAGTGAGTACCATGAGGCTTCTGGGACTGAGGCTAGCCCATGGGCTCTCACCTTGTCCATGGTCAGCTTGTTGCTTTTGTTAAGCGCCTGCTCCATTGTGTCCATGGAGTATGTGAACTTCAGCTTCTCAGGGTGCTGGCGGTACTTCCTCTCGCTCAGGATCTCTCCAGCTTTCCTTGCCTTCTCTACCTCCAGAGAGTCTATCGGGACCCAGCCAATACCTTTCATCCAGTTGGTGAAGTCAGATTTGTACAGATTCTTTATCATGAAAACAGAAGATTTCATTTCAGAAAGAATCAGGTCCTGGGCTTCTTTAGCTACAAGACTTACTCATTATCAAAAGGAGAAGGGTGGGGGGTTCAGAGGAAAGTGAGAAGGCCCAATTTTTGCTCAATACCATTTTTTTGAAAAAATGAATTATAAATTTGATTGTATTCATGGTGTTTTGAACAGTGAATCCTAAAGTAACAACTCATTTAAAAAGTTAGCTTTCTTAGCCAGGCATGCTGGTACATGCCTATTATCCTAGCATTCAGCAGGCTAAGGAAGAATGTTTGTAGGCTCAAGGATAGCCTGGATGACACAGTGAGCTTCAGGTAAGCCTAAATTGAAAACAAAAGTGATGAAACACTGAAATGCTCATGAAGAAATGAATTAGCTAAAATTTTGCATTGGGAAGAATACTATATATCACCCATTTGAGCCTCACAATTTTTTCACAGAATATATCGTATTTGGGCCCAACCATACACGCACACACAAACACACTCACTGTGTATATATGTGTGACAATAAGGTCACATGTAATTTAAATGAATGAGATCCTGCCACTCTGTGGAGGATCCCCAGGGAGAGCAGTTAGTTGAGACAGATGGAAGATGAGCAAGCGGCTCTGCTTCTTCCCTCCCACCTGTGGAAACGGAAAACTAACTGCACCGGCAGCTGACTGGTACATACGTCGCTCTGGATCTGCATGGCGTTCCTGGAGTGCTCCACGTTCAAGGCATCCGGCAGGAGGGTGTAGTTGTGATACGGCTGTCTGTAGTTGGCGTTGGTTGCCACCTCCTGAGACTTCTTTGCAGCAGTTACACTGAACATATCCAAGGGCGTGTGGTAGTGGGTCTTGCTGGCCTCGTAGCCCTTTTTGTACTCACGATCTGACTGTATTTTGGCCACATTCATGTAGTGAACCAGTTTAGGATCATCCTGAAGACTGAGGAAGCCGATCTGCTTGCCTTTGGCTTTCTCGTATGCCTCCTTATATTTGCACTGTTTGGAAGAGACAGATAGACAGAAGGTGGACAGGGTAGGAATTCAAGATAAATTGAACTTGTATAGTAGTCTAAGTGAAAGCCAAATTCAGTCTGAATCTAGGAACACCTAAGCTTTTTAAAAGTATGTTTAGTAAACAACTAGCAAAATTCTGAGAATAATAAAGATTATAATAATTTGCAGTTTCTATCTAAATTGTTCGTAAGCAGATTCTTTAACTATACTTAAAGGTTCCTGAAAAGTTTATTGATTAAGCACATGTATATTTTTATCTCATTTCTATTAATTTGCATTATCTTTTAAAAAGTATTTATGTAATCATGACTGAATTTCAGCAAAGCCCTACTACAAATTAAAGTATTGAACTTAAAGTATTGAACTTAAAATGAAATGAATTCATACTCTCTGAAGATAATTATATCAGTTCATCAAGAAAATATAACTTAATTTGTAAGAAAAGTAATTAAAGTGTTGTTATTTAACCTACAATTCTTCCTTGTTTCTCCTGTCTCACTAGACTTTTTTTTTCTTACACAAGTTGTTAAATTAAAACACCATAATCTTCTTTAAAAATGCTGGAGACTTGATTTAGTGATATTTTAGTAGACTTTCTTTCCTGACAAAATCCAAATAAAAATTTTTCTTAAGTTCACAGTAAAATCAATGAGTTCCAAACTTTCTACAAGTAAAAAGAAAAATTCTCTGTATTTTTTCTTTGTAATGAATTTTTAAAAAAATACTTTCAGTGAAGCAATATAAGAAACCACTGGCACTTAGTATATTAGGAAATGTTTTTATACTGTAATAGTTTATGTGCTTCCTTCTTTAGTCCACGATCTCATACACAATGTATAGATTTTAAAACCTGCAGATAGCTTACTACTTTCAGATTAGACTTACGTCGCTAGCAATATTCCTTGAACTTTTTGCAGCAACAATGGGAATGGCATCCGGTCTCAAGTCATAACCCTTAGCAAGGGTCTTCTTCCAGTCTGCTTTGTAGTGAGACTGTGGATAAGGAAGAGTTGTTTCATTATTTGATATTAATAGAAGAAAAAATGAACAAGGATGCCAAGGTATTTTTCATGAAATATGGTATAACACATCCCTTTCTATAAAGAGATTTCATAGTTAAGCTATTAGTTCATCTTTTATGTGTCTAGCACATTCTTTTTTAAAGAAATATCCATAAACTATAACAGGGGCTGGTAATACATGGCAATTTAGCAACTTGGGAGGCTAAAGCAAGAAGATTATGAGGTCAAGGCCAGCCTAGACTATACAGAGACCTATTTCAAAAAACAACTAACAGAACAACTGAACTGCTGGGTGTGATAGCATGCACCTTTAATGCCAGCATTTGGGAGGCAGAGACAGGCAGATACCTGTAAGAACAAAGTTATCCTGGTCTACATAGTAAGTTCTGGACCTTCCAGGGCAAGAGGGAGACCCTGTCTCAAACAAACAACCACTGAACCAAAAATCAGTAAGCAATATACAACACAATCTCAACTAATAAGATGTATATTTTTGCATGAAAAAGCAATGGAAAGGTAATGTTTTGAATGTAGGAAAACAAAACATTTTCATGAATTTTTCATAAATTTCTGTGGTTTCAACTTGCTTATAATAAAATGTAATACAATAAAGTTTTCTTTCATAATAAAGCATTTCAAAGTTATAGAAATTTATTGACATCAAGATTTAAAAATTCAGATACAGTGTCACTCAGGCAGCTTTAAGCATTTTAATGCTTCAGTATTAAAAATCAGTGAGGGGCTGGAGAGATGGCTCAGCAGTTAGGAGCACTGGCTACTCTTACAAAGGACCTGGGTTCAGTTCCCAGCACCCACATGGCAGCTAATAACCATCTTACAGCTCGAGGGGAATCTGATACTCTCTCCTGACCTCCAGGGGCATTGCATGACACAGGTGCACTTACATACATGCAGGCAATACACTCAGACACATAAAATAAAAATAATAAATAAAAAGTTAAAAATTAGTAAAAATTTTAAATGAATCAAAAACATAGAAATAATTACCAAAGAATTCACATTTAAAGATAAAACTGCCTAAAATATTAGGAAGAATGACTGAACTTTTTTTTTTTAAGTAAACCATCTCTAAGAAATGAACAGTTTTTTCCAGGTTTAGTTATATTTTTAAATTAGAATGTACCAACATTTTCTTTAAAAGGAGATAGTGCATAACATGGATTTAGTTACTTTTTTGCTTATTTAACTTTATTTTTGAGATGCGGTCCCATTGTGCTGCCTGGGCTGGGGCTCAAACTCTCCATTCTTCAACCTAGTGTCCAATGTCTCCAGTTCCTGGCATGCACTGTTTGTTTGTTTGTTTGGATTTAAACGTAAGTCTTCAATTATATCCCTAGACTATCCAAGAGCTAGCTGAGTTAAAAAACGAAGCAAAACAAAACAGAATTATAGAAGTAAAGTGAACTCTTTTGGAAGTCTTAATAAACAGTTGACCTAGAATTCGTGAAGCAGAGCTTCCCACTGCCATGGACCATCACACTTGTGCATTCCAGTCTTGCCCATCTTGTTTTGTTTGATGCTTTCAAAACAGCGACACAAAATTTTCTAAGCTGGTTTTACCATCTACTAATGAGTCACAGCCCATAGTTTGAAAGAATACACATTAAGCAAAATTTTACAGTGACTTCTGGTCTCGTGTTGCTTAAGGGCCCCATCTGGAGACTCAAAGGGTCTACATTTAGCTTGTTCTCCTTGAACTACTCAGCGCAGGAGTTACCCAGGACTGGGAAAGGGATGTGGGCTGAAGCAATATTAGACTGACATCAAGTCAAATACTCACGTCACTCATGTTGATGGCATTGACTTTGGCTTGAATGAACTGAGGCAATTCAGGGTCCATCGTGTATTTATGCTTCAGTTTCTCCCCCTCTACCTTGTAGTTCAACTGCAAAGAAAGGAAGAAGCATGCAAATGTCATGAGCTGACACAGTGTGAGTTGCATCAGGTACCCAGCCTTTAAAAGGGAAGGCTATCATTGCTGTTTTCCACACACAAGACAAATGTGTTCGACATCACAGGCAGGAGACTCTGGTAGGATATTCATGTCCTCATTCCACCAGGCAGAGTGATACATCTTGTGTTTAAAGTGTTGAAAAAGGCAGAACTGTCCTCTTAGAGCTTACAGTCTAATAGAGGAGGCAGATGTTAATCATGTGAACTAGAAACTATGGAAAAAACTTGAGGTATGTTGTAACAGAACAGCAGCAACAGAGGAACCTGGACAGTTACGAAGGTAGAAGTAGCATATGTGTTCAGACTTGGACAAAGGGGAGAGTTCTGGGCAGAACAGCATTCAGATCCCAAAGCTGGAAATGGCCTGGCCACTCTGAGGGGTGCAGAGCATCCTGACACCCTGTAGAAAGTGGGATTAGAGCTGGGTGGCGTGGTGGCACACACCTTTAATCCCAGCACTCCGGAGGCAGAAGTAGGCGGATCGCTGTGTGTTCAAGGCCAACCTGGTCTATATAGTGAGTTACAGGCCAGTGGGGGTTACAGGGAGACCCTGTCTCAAAAAGAAGCCCCCCCCAAAAAGTAGGATTAGACAGCTGGGGGAGCAGGCCATAGAGTGGAGATCTCTTCACCCAATTTAATGACTTTGAATTTTAAGTTCAAGGAGAAGTCCCAAGAGGGTTTTTTACATATATGAAGATGGGATTTGATTCATTTGAGACCCCAGGCAGGGAGTCCACAAGTCAGGGCAGTCATCCACATGTGAGACAAGGAAGCCAGAACTAGGGCTGTGACAATTCAAAGACAAGTACTCCAGTAAGCTATTTACGACCCTGATTTAGCAGAGATTCTGCGTGGGGGTGGGTGGTGTGGGGAGACAAGGGTGTGTTAAAGGTGACCTCTAGGTTTCTGATTTCAGTATTTAGGTATATGTTTATTAATGGCATTTATTGGGATGGAGAAGACTTAACACAGTGAGTACAGTTTTCCTAGCTAACTGAACACATTGAGAAGTGACACCTTCCTGAATATCAAGGAAGTCAAAAGAATCCCTGGCATTTATGATAACTAAAATAAGATAAATTCTTAAGCAACTGCAGTTGCTTAAGAGCAACAAGAGCAGAGACCACCCTGCGAAATAAAACCCACAGATAGCCCTTGGGTCCAAGATAAGCTAAGTATTTGCCAATTTCTAAAACATGAGGCTAGAGCAAAAAAAAATCTCTATTTTTTTATTTGTTTCTTTTGCTGATGGAGGCATTTTAACAGAACTCAGAAATTACTAAGTGATGTGAGGCACTGAGCATCGTAATTAGCTTCAATTGAAAGAAAAAGGCCTTGGATGGAGAAATGAGACCCAGGATGATTACAAATCATCTGCTTATCTCCTCCCTTGGGGACTTATTTTACAGCACCTCTCAGAACAACGAGTTCTTATGCAAGGGGATTAGGACATGATGACATTCTTCTGTGTGCCTAGGAAGAACTACTGCAACTCAGACCAATAAGTAGATTTGCAGTTGAAGATGACAATGGCAACACTGGAGGTCCATGCATACAATGTGCAGATTTGACTTATGGATACTGACATTTTATGTTTGGAAAACATAGCAAATCTGGAACAAACCCCTTTTATCTACATGTTTTCCCTGTGTTCAAGTTCAAAGCTGTTTCAGAAGTAAAGTCTATCTCTTACACCTCTGTGTGGTAACACAGATGCATCCTCACACACTGAGTGAAGAAGCCTGGTGGGGTGGCTTGGTCATGGGGTTATTTACAGACTAGACCTTTTGAAGAGAAACACTTACATCGCTCAGCTGCTTCGTGTTCTGCTGGGCCAAAACCATGCCCATGGAGTCAGGCACGCTTGTGAACTTGATGGTGTCTGGGTGCTGTCGATACTTCCTCTCATTTAATGCATCCCCCGCTTTCTTGGCCTTCTCGACCTCCAGGGAGCCAATAGGGATCCATCCAATGCCCTTGAAGAAGCTATTGTACTCGTCCTTATAGGCATTCTGCAAAACAGGAAGCTCATGTGTGAGGCGGTGTCCTACGGAATACTCAACCAAGTCTCTGGGGTCTGCAACTATACCCAAGAGAAATGAACAGCAATTATTTTCCCTGCACTCATGTCTGCCTGTCACTCAGCTTATTACCGGGAACTGGGTAATGAGAAAAAGCTGTTCTGCTGCTGCTAGAGTGCATTATACAACACAGAAGGAATCTAGGTCATATATTTCCATGGATATCATGAAATTGTTTTTGTCTCTCTTGACAATAAATTGGGCTTTCCTTTTGATTTCACTGAAGACTTCGAAAGTTTGAGTTTTACTCATGCTGTCCACCCAGGTTATCCCTGATCTCAGATGGGTAGAGAGATTTTCACTGACAGCCAAATAAATGAATGCCATTTCTTCTCCTGCAGAAAGAAATATCCTGAATGTCAAACACCTCCCTATGCAGCTCTTCATGAATCATGCTGCAAGTACAGAGACTTCCCAGTTCATTTGCTATGACTCAATACATAGATTTACATGGATGACAGTGTAACCTTGAGTCTAAAAAAAGAAAAAAAAACTTTCCTGGATTCAGAAAGCACTGGGAATTCTATTTTGCACTATACAACCATTACCACAGAGGTATGCCCACAGGAGCACCTCTGATGAGAATCAAGGTGCCTAGGTCATTAGTGGAATGTGGTCTCATCTTTCATCCATAAGTTAACAAAAACAATGTTGATGGTTATGACATAAGCATAGAAAGCCAGACAAATAATGTAGCTTGTCTACCATGCTTTTGAACAAATGTTGCTTATTCTAAAGTGCAGTTTTCAAATATATTATTGCCTCTTGAGGTCTACTAAAGTAGACAGATGAGCATCCTTTAAGGTCAAATGTCTTTGAGTCTGTAACACATACTTACATCACTCTGAATTTGATTAACATTCCTTGTGTGTTCAAGACTCAAGGCATCAGGAAGGTATGTGTAGTGATGCAATGGCTGTTTGTAGTTGACATTGGTGGCCACATCCTGGGCCATCCTTGCAGCCGTGATGCTAACCATGTCCCCAGGGGTATGGTAGCTGGTTTTAGTATTCTCGTAGTTCTTCTTATATTCACGATCAGACTGTAACTTTGCCACATTCATGTAGTGGACCAGCTTGGGGTCATCCTGGAGGCTTCTAAAGCCAATATGCTTTCCCTTTGACTTCTCGTAGGCTTCTCTGTATTTATACTGTGGAGACAGAACTTGGTTAGCCAAGTCCTAGGACTGATAACACTAGTACAAGAATGTTATTCATACACAAAAACACTCAGAACATTTCAACTTTCTGGATGATTGTTTAAGAAACACAAACCACACCTGTGTTCCAGGAAATTCATAGCAAAATCACTTTAAAGTCTGCTGGGATTCCAAGGGAGTCCCATGATAAATTCAACAAGTTTTTCCCCTTTCCTTGACTCCTACAGATGATTTTTAAATAGAACTGTTTTCAAAATCAACCTAATTTTCACTCTTTCAAATATAAGACTAATGTCCTTTAGCTTTGCGGGGATGTGGACTTTCCTAATCCTGTATATGACTCTTGATGGAAATTAAATGGGCATCAATTTGCCTGAATGAATCAAGATTATATCCTCAAAAGAGAGGGGGGAGTCCTGTTTGGCTCATAAAATATGTACACATATATAACCCTTCTCAGTTTTTCAATATAATTGTTATGCAGACAGTTGCTTGAACTTAACATGTTACTGTCATTCAGGATGTTCCCTAAAAACATCCCATTGGGGAAATGTGTCAGCAAAGGTAATTTGGGCTGTGAATTGGAAGAGAAAGCCACTGTCAGACTTGTGACATTGCTACCAAGTGGGGTCAACTGAAAAGAATCACAACAATGTTGAGAAGGTGCCAGGTTTTCAAAATAACACTCTGTGGCAAATTTGAATGCCATTAATTTAACATATTATTTTCAGTGACACATCTCCTTAAACAAACACATATTTGATTACTTTCCATAAATGAAGTCATTCAAATTTCACCTATTTTTTTTTTTTTTTACTCACATCACTGGCGATGTTTCTTGATGACTTGGCTGCTGTGATGGGAATTGCATCCTCCAGGACATTGTTGCCCTTGGCTATTAAATCATGCCAGTCCCGTTTGTAACAGACCTGGAATGGAAAGGCAAAGCATGTCAGCATGCTATGTACTGATTAGCTTAAGAAGTTCCTCAAGCACTGGGATGGACTGGTTTTCTCACATATGTAAGGTAAAGTATTGAATATTGGCCACACGTGCTCTTCTAGAAAGAGGTATTAGCAAAAGGCCATGCTTTGTGTCTAGCTTGAAATCATGGGTCTCTGTACCAATTATTCCCCCAAATCTGGCTTTGGCACATAGGGAAGATGGTGAAAAACCAAGTGAATGCAGAGGAGAGTAATAAAGGCTGTGGAAACCCTGACACCGGAGAAAACAAAGCTATCCAGTCTTGTGAAAGGACAGCCAAGAGAAGAACTGGTGGCCAGCTTTATGAATTTTAGGGTTGTTGCAACAAGTAGATCAATGACTAAGGATTTCACTTATTCTCTTTTTTCCCCTAGAAGAGAATAATTCCCGTCCCCTGTGCAAACTAAGTAGAAGTTTTGGGGAAATAGGAAGTAAATTCCACATAAGAAAGCTATACCCATGGAGCCGTCCTTACATACCGAGGATCAACTCGAGAGGCAAGAGGAGACCATCACCATGAGACATGCTTCACTGAAGGCTATGTGAGAAACTGACTTAAATCATTATCAGGATGCCTTTTACCTCTAAGGCTCTATTATTTTACTGCCATATCTAGGTTTCACACTCCAACAGACACTACTCACATCACTTATATTATAAGCATTGCACTTGGCCTGGAGAAACTGTGGAAGATCAGGATTCAGAGTGTATTTATGCTTCACATCTTCTCCTTTAGCTTTGTATAAGATCTGCAATACATAGGCACAAAAAAAAATGCCTTTCACACCATGCAGAAAGGGAAAACCATTAATTACATGATTAAAGGAGTTATTTCTAGCTGTGCTGGACAGTTTCAGTTGTCAACTTGACACACCTGGGAAGAAAGACTCTCGACTGAGGAATTTCCTCTACTGGATTGGCCTGTGGACATGTCTGTGAGGCATTTCCTTCACTGTTGAGTGATGTGGGAAGGGCCAGCACACTGTGAATAGTGCCACCGCTGGGCAGGCTGTCTTGGGTTGTATAAGAAAGCAGGCTGAGCACAGGCCAAAGGGGAAAGCCCGTAAGCAGTGTTCCTCTGTGGTCTCCTTCAGCTCCCTGCCTCCAGGTTCCTGCCCTGCTTAAGGTCCTGCCCTGGCTTCCCTCCATGATAAACTGTGATGGGGACCTGACACCAAACAAATCCTTTCTTCCTCCAGCTGGTTTTGGTCATTGTGTTTTATCACAGCAGTAGAGAAGCATATTCAAAAGATTTGCCTTTTTTTGTTCATTTAAAAGTGATGACTGCTATTCTCACTAAAAGACATCCAATGTAACGTAGAGATCTCACTGTTTTCTCCTCTTTGTAACAGAAAATGAGTGAATTGCTTAATTTCTGAAACTAAAATAGAGTGAGGATTACAGGCAGATATTCTACTTCTAATTTATTGGCTGTATATTTCTCCCATTTCCCAGCAGAGACTAAGGGAAATGTCTCATATAGAGTCATGTGTAGGTACTACAAGTAAAACCTAAGATGATTGCTGTCTAAATTAATTCCAAAATAATTATTTCTTTTAAAATTTTATTTATTTATTTTTTATGTGATGTGTATAATAAGCATTTTGCCTGAGTGTATGTAATCACACCCATACATGCAAAAACCAGAGAGGCCAGAAGAGGGCATCATATCCCCTGGAACTGGAGTTCTGGATATTTTTTTAGCTGCCATGTGGGTGCTGGGAACTGAACCCAGGTTCTCTGGAAGAACAGTCAGTGCTCCTAACCGCTGAGCAATCTCTCCAGTCCCAATCATTGATTTCGTATTGCCTTTAGAAACAGCATCTAAACATCGACAAAATCCACATTTTCCTTCTTACTGTTTCTTTCTTTTGCAGCAGTAATGTCCACAAAGTCTTCCCAACACAAGTCCACTTCCTGCTTCCAGCCTCTCCTCTTCCCAGGCTCCAGACATTTTTACCAGACTTATTTTTTAAAACACAGACCCAATAATAGAACTTCATGTATAACATTTCCCATTAGCTACCCCATAATGCTTAAACTACAAATTTGCATTACAAGACTCCTCCCTGACTCCCTGCCCAATCAGGTTATATTCTGGCCTCTCTCTCTCCTATCCTTCCACTTTACTGGGAGGACACTGTTCCTTCTTACTGCCTTACAGTGTTCTTTCTGTCATCTTCTCCTTTGCTAGGGAAACTCTTCAGCAGTTATCTACTTCCCTTCTACTTTCTTAGTGCATGCCTCACCTACAGGGCTCATCTCTGTTTATAGCTGCACCTTTCTCTTATGCGCCTGTCCTATTTTCCTATTAATTCCTGTGCCTCATTAACCTCCATCTATTTTGTCTTTATGCTGTCAGCACAAAATACAATGCCGAGCCCAAAGTCATTGTTCAAAATATTCAATGACTTAATGAGTGAGCGATTCTATATACCCAAATTCTCTTTAGAAGTTGTGAGTTGAGTCAGAGTTTATACCCTGTCCACAAAGAGGCAGGTAACTAATTTTTCATCAAGACTTAACTTAAAATGTCCGTGTGTGAATCCTGAAAAACAAAATGATATACTCATTTGTATTATTTTCTTGTGTTAATTTTTGTATGTGAAGAGCAAAGGAGGGAACTTTATATAGAATTAAATCTAATGGATTTTTACAATTCTCTGTGATTTCAGCTTAAATTCTTTATATGTATAGTATGGAATAGTACTTTCTGTACCTGCCAAATGTATCCAATAACATAGTCTTTTAATGAAAGAAAAGTTTTAGAAAGTTTTAAAAAAGCTAGTGCCCAAGCTACAAACTATAATTTTCTTTTGAAATTAAAATGCACAGAATAATATATCAGAATGAAAAGGCACTGGCTCTTAATAAAGGTGTTCGGCTGGTGCTTCTCTCATAAAGAGCTTTCCCTCTGCACCCTCTCTTCTGTTGTACTCACGTCGCTGACTTGCTGCGTGTTCTGCTTTGCCTGCACCATCACGGGGGAGTCCACGATGCTGGTGAACTTGAGGGTGTCTGGATGCTGCCTGTACTTCTTCTCGCTCAGGGCATCACCTGCCTTTTTCACTTTTTCTTGGTCCAGGCTGCCGATGGGTATCCAGCCAATGCCTTTCATCCAGGTGTTGTAGTCTTCCTTGTAGGCATTCTAAAGTGGGAGGGAAAGGGGTGAAGGCTCAGGCCGGATTTGCAACTGAGGAGGGTGGTCCCCTGGGAGTCACAGCACTTACGTCACTCTGTATATGCATCATGTTCTTGGACAGCTCCAGGTCTATGGCATCCGGCAAGTAGGTGTAGTGGTGGAGAGAGTGTCTGTAGTTCGTATTGCTGATCACATCCTGTGCCTTCTTAGCAGCTACCACGTCAAACATATCGTGAGGTATGTTGTATTTTGTCTTTGTCTTTTCAAAGTCCTTTTTATACTCCCGGTCTGACTGTATCTTTGCCACATTCATATAATGAACCAGTTTAGGATCATCTTGGAGACTTTGGAAGCCAACGATTTTCCCTTTAGCTTTTTCATAATCTTTTTTGTAATGAACCTATTGGAAAAGAAGGTGGACATATTTTAAAATGTTGCTTTGAAGATTTTACTGAACAATGTGGCCATTATTTGAAGTAACTGAGCTTCCCAGAATTTTCTATATGTCAATACCCAGGGGTTTTGTTCCAGGACTCCTCACCATCTGCAGACATCAAAACCCACCCATGCTCTAGTCCCTCAAATGAGGCACAATACTTGTGTGTAACCCACACACATTCTCTCTTATATACTTCAAATTATCTCTAGAGTACTTATAATAGCTAATAAAATACCAACTCTATATAAATAGTTGTTATGCATTATTTAGGGGATACTGACAAGATGAAAGTCGGTACATGTTTAGGACAGGTGTAACTTTTAAAAGCTTTTTGGTCCATGCTAGGTATCTGAGGATAGAAAGGGCCACCTCATCTGCAGAGTGGTAAAATAAAATACCATTTAGAACCTGTTTGAGTGTCTATGGCTTCTTCTACCCACTCAAAGAGGCTGGGGTGGAAATGCCATCACAATTCATGTCAGTGACAAACTGTTTTTCTACACTGTTCCTTTCCACTTAGACACTGGGAAAGAATTATGAAAAAAAAATTCACAGTCTTCGCCAATAACACTGTGGTGTCAAGGCCCCAAGTAACTGATAATTTGACTAACTGAAGTCTTTTAGAAGTAAAAGGAATTTCCTGCATCCTTTGGGTATTAAAAGGACAATGTAGAACTAGTCATGTTTGAACATCATTTGGTTTTGAATAAGGGCTGGGATTTCTTGGGGAAACCTACAGAGGACTCTGGGAAGTCAAAGCCCATCAGAGAACCCTGTGGAATATGGGGGATAGGGTGGCTAGAGGAAAACACCCACAGAGAAAGGTCAGTGAAATCTGGACAGGAGAACTATATTTGTCGTCATTTTTAAAGACTTATTCTATTTACATTCATGCATTTCATTCAGAAGTTACCCTTGGAATTTTTAAGGAAGATAGATATAATAAAGGGAAAAAAGAAGAAAAAAAATCACATGAATTAAGAAACACTAAAGATAAAATTTTCCTACCCAGAGGCTATTAGGACTTAAAAGTCAATTTCTTCTTGGTTTCTGATTTATCAAAGAGAAGAAATGGAAGGCTATACTAATCCCGTCCTCCAAGAAAACTCAGACCTCTTTAGGAAACTCTTTCCAGAATAGTTTCCAGTCAGGAACAGTGCACACAGAGACTTCTGGGTAAACTGCCAGGCTCCATGTTTGCTGGTTACACATGTGACCACAGCTGGACTTACGTCACTTGCTGCCTGCCGGGCAGCTTTGGCAGTTTTGATGGGAATTGCGTCAATTTTCAGGTCATAGCCCTTCTTGCTCAAATCTTTCAAGTCAGCTTTGTACACTTTCTGAAAGAGAAATGTCACTTTAGGACTCCAAGGCCAGTTAGTAAAGGCTGAGCACTCAGGACAGCGGTGTGCACACGCACCTCACTGATGTTGTAAGCATTAACTTTAGCCTGGATGAACTGGGGCAGATCTGCTGGCAGGCTGTATTTGTGCAGAATTTCCTCTCCTTTGGCTTTGTAAGCGATCTATGAGAGAAAAAGTGTTATCAACAAGCTATAGAGAAACATTTTATGGCACAGGAAAATAATTTCAGGGTGGAACAAATTTCATAAGGTGACGTTAGGAAAGATATTCTCTGGGTAGTCCCCATAGTCATCTGCAAATACCTGCAGACATTCCGGGTCACACATGCAGTACTATGGGGTCCTATCTCAGTGCTGGCTCATTTCTTGGCCAACATCCTAGGGCATACACTAGGAATCGCTGGCTCTAGGTAGGTATGCCTTGTAGACCTCAGCCAAGGGAAGTGACCTGACAGAAATGCTAACCTGTGGGCACTTTCCTGGGCCCGGACAAGTTAACATAGTATATCAGACTTTGTGGTAGATTAAAGGGATTTTACAGGTGGTTTTAACTGTATGATTTTTGTCTTTAAATATAATCGCCATGTGGTACAGTACCTATATCCATTCTCTCTGATCGTTCCTAGAGAAAGCTTGTAATGTCATTGGGAGAAAGCCCTCTCCCCTTTCCCTTGGGGAGCTTTCCCTCAGTGACTGACAGGACAGCCAGTATAGTATATGGAGTATCCTAAAGGTATAATTCAGTGTGCATCATTAAAAAACAGCTGGAGGAATTAACAACTCACATGAGGCTCTTCAGGTGGTAAAATAGCTGCAGTCGATCAGTGTATTTTCATATAGATACCTTCATGTTAGTGATCAGTTACTAAAATACACACAGGATGGGCACTTACATCACTCCTTTGGGCTTGGTTAATTTTAGACTGTACAATAATGGGAGCATCTTCAATTGAGGTAAACTTGAGTGTATCTGGATGTTGGCGGTACTTTTTCTGTTTGGAGAATCAAAAAGAGTATTTAATTACTTTTCACTGAAGGCTAACATATTGAAATCCTTGGCATTTACTTTATAAAGACAGGGGGTTTGCCAATTTTAAAAGGCAAAACTACTGGAGTCCTGATCACCTTAGATGAGGAATGAGTACAATATAGAAATGATGTTTTAGAATCAGCATCTTCATGGATGATCTGGGGCAAGAGAACAGCACAGATCTCTGGAGCCATATTTATACCCCCTGAATTTCTTGTTCATGGTATGAAAGAAGGCCTTTCTATTATGCTGGGTCTAGAAACATCACAGATGTCTTTGAAGGGGTAACAGAAAGCAAGCAAGAAAATTTGGGCTATCTTTTTTTAAAAGTCATGGTCTAACGTATCTCAGGCTGGTCTCAAACGTGCTATATAACTGAGGATGGTCTTGAACTCCTTCCTGATCTTCCTGCCTCTGCCTCCTGAGTGCTATGATGTCTTTACATGATACTGTGAAGTTCTTAGGAATGCCATTTCCCTATCACTTCATCAGCAACTGCAGTAAAGAAGTTTTCCCAGTTGAGGAAGGAATTGCTAAGGATGTAGGGCAATAACTAATGATAATCAGTGAGGCAAAGAACACATCTGCTTGGCCAGCCTTACTGTGACTTCTTACATAGGTGGCACTGATGTGCTGAAGAGGCAAGAAAGAGGGACTTTGGGAAGGTGGTCCACTTAGGGAACTGAGAGCTATCCTTGTGCTACGGTCTACTCTATTTGCCCAGTCACCATCCTTGGGACATACTGCACATTCCACTTTTACATAAAAAGCAACCGCTTTCTCATCTTCAAACTTCTGAAAACCACCAAACCAGGAAGACATTTTCTGAAAAATCTCTGAGAAGGCAAAGGCTTTCATCAAAACCAAGCAAAAGCACGCACAAAATAACAGGGCCAGCACAGGCTTGAGTGTGGTAGACAACCCTTACTCAGCTCCACTGTCTTTCATGCCCTTTATCTTCCTCTGTGACAGTCACAAGACAACAGTTAAGTTTTCAGCCGTTGGTGGAGAAGGGACAGGCACATTTGTTTTTCCCTAAGACTGAATTGTAATTTGTAAACTACTTCACAGTCACCAGGACTATGACACTGGGCACAATTCTTTGAAGAAGATTCCTATAACAACTACATTGCAGTCACCCTAATTTGAAAACAATCCACATATCCACCAACAGCTGAAGCATCCATTAACATGCATCCTTGCAAGGGTTGACTACTCAATTAAGAAAATAAAGGCATGAATTTTAGGCATAAAATATTAAAAGTCATATCACAAAGAAGCTACTAAAATAGATAAAACTAGCCAGGTGTAGTGGTACACGCCTTTAATCCCAGCACTCTGGAGGCAGAGGCAGATGCAGATGGATCTCTGGCCAGCCTGGTCCACATAACGAGTTCACCAGCTGGGGCTACAGGGAAACTGTCTCAAAAAAAAAAAAAAAAAAAAAAAAAAAAAAAAAGAAAAAAAAGGTAAAACCATACAGACGGGAAGACGCAGATCAACAAAGCCTTGGGGTGAAGATGGAAATAGGAAATTTCTTAGTATTAATAGTATTTTAAAATTAATTTGTGAAGTGGCTGTGGTGGCTCATACCTGTAATCCCAATACTAAGGCAACCTTATTATCACAAGTTCAAGCTACGGCAACTTTATTACAACAAGTTCAAGGTCAGCCCAGGCTATATAATGAATTCCAGGCCAGCCTGGGTTATAGAGTTAGATCACGTCCAAAAAACAAACCAAAAAGTAAAAAAAAAAAACAAAAAACAAAAAAATCACTGTGATAATAACTACACAATTACATGGATTACATTTAAAGCAGATGGTTTTAAGACATGAAAATAACATTGTTCAACTATTTATATTGGAATGCTTAGCATAAATAGTTTGGGTAATATAAAAAAGTAATTTGATTTTCTTGGATTATTTGTGCATGTTTTTAAGTTTTTCAGCAACAATGATTAGAAAATGAAGCAGAAAAGAAGCTGTTTCCTGTGGCTTTGAGTTTGAATAGGACACATTTGCAGCCGTGTCTACACAACACTGACCATACCTCATTAAGGATGTCTGAGGCTCTCTTTGCTTTTTCCATCTCCAAGGACCCAAAGGGCACCCAGCCACAGCCCTTCATCCAGCTGTTGTAGTCAGCTTTATACTCCACCTAAAAACCAGGAAAAAAGTCACTATTCTATATTCGCTGCCATTATTACATCAAATATGGACATTTTACCTAATGTTTTTAAGATTTCTGAGATGGTTCCTTACTCTATGTATGCTGTTAGTGTATCCATTTCTTTGTAACAGCCTTTATATTTTTATTTTTAACTGGCATACGCTCCATTTTACCCTTATGTTTAACTTAATGGAAATATGTGAAATTCTGATTCTAACCCAGAAAATGCTCAATTCCACACTGTATTTCAAGGAATATATGAAATGATTACATTCACACTATTGTCTGTAAAAGATTTGCTCTCTGAAACTCTCAGCATTATGTTCCTATGGTCAAATTAGGCCTAAAATGAAGGTTCCATTGAAGATACATAATTCCGGTAATTTTCTAATGAGATTTGATGGTTATTATTTGTCTAAGTGATTGCTCATATTGTCCTTTGTATGTGTTGGTCATCTTAGGAGTGTTTCTCCATTGGCTAATAAAATGTTTGAAAATAATTATATTTGTTGATTTGCTTAAGAAAACAGTCATTATCTGGAACGGGTCTTATGTGGGGACCATCATCAGATGCTATTAAGGTAATGGTCTCCCTCTAGTCACCTGACCATAGATGATACCTAAAACTTAAATTTAGACAGGAAATTCAAACTGTTGTTGTTTACCATGTGCTTTTTTTCTAAACTGGAGTAAAAAAAAAAATTCAAGAAAGCATTTCCTTCCTGCCCTTGAGATGCTTCCAATCTAGTGCTGATGAAGAAACACAGAAAAATCGAACAAATAAAATAAGATCATTTATAAAGCAGAAATTGTCAGTGGAAAGAGTGCAAATTATTCAACCAGTGGAAAAGTTCTGGTTGGTTCTCAGAAAAAACTGAAAACAAAACTACCAAAGGATCTGGCAATTTGACTTCTGTGTATATACCCAAAAGAATTAAAAGCAAGATGTTAAAGGGACATTCATACACTCATGGCCACAGAAAAACTACTCATACATGCTAAAAGGTGGGGCCAACCCAAATTTCCACTAACTGAAGAATGGGTACACAGAATATGGTACATGCTTATGGAGGAATATTGCTTTTGTTCAGCTTTAAAAAGGAAGGAAATGCTTTAATCCCAGCACTTGGGAGGCAGAGACAGGCAGATCTCTGTGAGTTCAAGGCCAGCCTGGTCTACATAGTGAGTTCCAGGCCAGCTGGGGCTACAAGGAGACCCTGTCTCACAAAGGACTCCATTCCCCTCCAAAAGGAAGAAATGCTACAGGGATAAATAAACCTTGAGGCCAGTATGCTAAGTGAAATAAACCAGTTACTAAAGACCAGCACTGCATAGTTCCACACTTGTGATGTGTCTGCCATAGTTAAACTTGCAGAAACAGGTGTTTCTAGGTGTCAGGGAGAGAAGAGAATGTGAGTTTACTGCTTAAGGTAGTTTGGGGTCTTTTTTTTTTTTTTTTAAAGACAGGGTCCTCTTGCCTCATTCTCCCAAGTGCTGGAATTATAGGCATGAACCACTATGCCCAGCTAGAGGCTCAGTTTTGCAAGATAAAAAAAGTTCTAGAGTGGGCTGCCCAACACTATTGAATTGTCAGCTTAAAATGGAAAAGATGATAATTGTGTATTTATGTGTGTATAGTGTATGTGTGTGTGTGTGTGTGTGTGTGTGTGTGTGGTGTTTGTATGTGTGCAGGTATGTGGAGGTTCAGAAGTTGGTCTCTCCTTCCACTGTGGGTTCTGGGGTTTGATAACTCAGGTTGTTAGGCTCATATGGCAAGTGCTGTTACCCTCTGAGACATGTCATTGACCCTTGACATCCATTTAAATCCTCTTAGTAACTTTTTAAAAAATATTTTACTTATTATTTTTATTTTATGTGTATGAGTATATTGCCTGCACATGTGTTAGTGTACCTGTGTCATGCAATGCCTGAGGCAGGTAGAGAGGGCTTTGGAGTCCCCGAACTGGAGCTACAGAAGGTTGTTTGTTACAGAAGGTTGTTCCCATGTGGGTACTGGGAACCAAACCCAGGTCCTCTGCAAGAGCAGCCAGTGCTCTTAACTGCTGAGCTATCTCTCCAGCCCACAACC